AGGGTTCAGGGGATCTCGTAGTCGAGCAGTCTCGACTAGAGCTTTCTTACTTGTTTCTTTTTTAAATTCTTAAATTTATTTGGATTAATTATTAATTGAACTTTATTAACGGAGACATTCCTTGCAAAAATTCTATTGATTAGTCATAGATTGTATACCTCGAAAAAAATTATTTATAGATGTTTTATTTATAGATTGCTAGGATGAGCCTTCATTAACTTTTAAGGTAGATTTCAAGTGGTCAACAGACAATTCCTTCTTCATATTACACTTCAAAGACAGTAAATATGGCTTCTTCTTCTTCTCCTTTTACTGCTTCTTTGGCGCTCGCCTGTTAATTCTAATTAAGATTATTTATAGCTTTTAGACACCTTTGACACTCGCTTTTCCGCACCTCAGTCTGGCTTAATCCGTGTTCAGTTTGGGCACGGTATGTAAACACAAATAGTTGGTTTTTGGCGGCCATCTATCAATATTTAAGAGTTTGACAATTGCTCTACATTATTCTGGGTTTCACGCAGAGCACGAATGCTTCCGCCGTACACTCCGCTATTTAAGGGCGATGACGTAAAATGAAAAATGACGTGAAGCAGGGCAGGAGCTTTGCCAGACGTCGGTGCCGGAACAAAAGCAGCAAAAAGCGAGGCAAAAAGCCAAAGGAAAACAGTTAAAATTGCTTTAAAATGCATAAGTGCGTGTGTAGTAATGTGAGTGTGTGGTAGTGTATGTGTGTGTGCGCAATGGTATGTGTGAATATTGAGCGGGCGCTGGCCAAAACAATGCGGCTTTTCGACGACTCGCCTGAAAAATTACTCATACGGCAATGAAACACGATAGCGTGAATGTAAGTGTGTGTGAGGGAGTGTGTGTGTGTGTGAGCGTGCATATCTGTGTGTGGCGCCAGCAGCGCGCTGTTGTTGCTGGCTTCGCTGCCAGCAGGCAGTCGCCATTCAGCAGACAAATGGACATGGCCAAAGACGGGTGGCTAGACTGACGGGCAGACCGAGCAGGGGGCGCGGCATGGCGTGGGAGTTGGGTAGGGTAATGGAGGGGGCGGCGAGGCGGCGGGCGTGTAGGTGCTGCAAATCGAGACAGAGACACCGAGCACGAGTCCTTTTTGCATTTCGCCGGCGAGTTGTTTAGGGTGCATGCGGGTGTTGGATAAAGTGTTGCCAACACACATAAAAACACTTTGACGTTACATATAAAGTAATTTCTTTTGTTTACTGGAGACCAGCAGTTAATATACGTATGTATGTATATATGTGTGTGTGTGTGTGTGTGTGTGTGTGTGTTTTTATGTTGGATCTCTCTCTCTCTTTCTCTCTCTCTCAGTCACTCACTCACACCCTCACTCACTCAGTTTTTTGTGGATTTAATGTACTGTTGTTAATGGAAATTTCGTGAATATTCAGTGTAATGCGAGAGCTACAGCGCTGATTATTATTTTTTATTTATAGTTTTCCCCTCTTGGGCTCCGCTCTTTGATAAATGTATATGACATGGTTTTTCAAGGTACTTTTTATGGGCCTTTCTTATGTTGAGTATTTGTGCTAATGCATTACAATGCGGCCATGAATTGTTAATACTTAATGGCAGTAATCTATCAGCTGATAATACTTATTGAAATACGTTTCTCTTAATGTTGGAAATGGAAATTCATAAATATTTCCTAGAATAACATATGTTTTTATTACGTAAATTGTAATAATATCTACTCGGAAAAGCATGCAACATCCGAAATTATTACTATAATTATAAATTAATTCTTCTTTCGAAATCCTTATTCAGTTGAACTTAAACTTATATTTAAAATCTCTAAATTTCGGTCTGGTAGCTAATAAACATTTAATGAAAATGAATTTTTATGTCCTTCTCTGCAGTTCCCATAGAGTAAAGTGAAGCACGCACGTTTACAAGCATTCCAATTATGTTTTCATAGGTCTTAAAACTTACATACATATGTTTTCACGTGTATGTACGGCCCATCATAAATAATATCAGCTTACCACTAGCAAACGTAAATATGACTATATATGTATACAGTGTGCATATATGGAGACCTAAATAACAAACAGGAATGAAACTCTAAAGCGATGGCCCGATGAAACCCCACAGGGCCATTAATTGTTTGCTACTCTACAATTTCTTCTTCATCTTTTTTTATATTTTTATTTTTTTTGCTTTGTTCGTTTTGCTATTGTGTGTTTCCATTTTGTGTGCCATGTTCTACGCACCTAGCACACACACACACACACACACATACACACACATGTCAGTTGGTTTTGTTGTTGCTGTTGTTAGTTTTGTTTGTTTCGCCTGGCTAAAGCCGCTTTAGACGCGTTGTTGCTTTTGGGCCTTTTGTTCCTGTTTTTGGTTGATGTCGGCTGTCGGTGTTTTGTAATTTATGCGGCTTCCCCCAGCTGCAGGCCCAGTCCCAGTCCCAGTCGCAGTCGCAGTCCATCAGCCACATCAGATCGGAGAGATATAACAACAATTACATTTTACGCTCTTTTAGGCGGCAAGCGAACCAATTGACAATTGGCCAGCCTCTGTCCACCTTTAGCTGGGATACTATATGTACCCATGTTCGATGCTGGAGCTTATATACTTTTTACCTGGCTGCAACTTCAATATACACTCATTAGTATGAAATGGCCAAAAGAGCTGTGAAAACTACACAGCGAACCATATCCATTGACCACGCCAAGCAAATTGGTTGCCATGGCCGCGAATGCAACACCAACAGCAACAACTATAGCAACAGCAGCAACACAACAAAGCTTAATCTGATACCTAATACACATTTTAGCCGCTGAGTGAAATTTGGTATTTAAGCGTTAGCTCTTACTTTGTTTCACTTAGCCTCAATCATTAACTCTAATTATCCCTAATGAAAATTGCTTTCTGTTTACTTTTATGCACTTGCCAGAGGCCAACAAACCCATGGCCAACACTAAATATTATGTGTGTAACGCATTCCAGCTGAGATCCTATCAGCAGCTAGAAAATTGTTTGTGGTTCGTTAAATGAACTCAGCTGAGCTTTGATTTAGTTGCTGATTGGCAATGATCTAAGGGTAGTCGTTAACTGATAAGGGAATTGGAAATAGAAATGTAAACAGCTGTAACTACGTAGTGGCATCACTATATTAAGTAATTTAAATGCAGAGTACGAGAGATAAGAATACAGCTTAAGGAGTCAACATGGGCAGACGTGGCATTAGTGATCTCTGTTTTCGCTTTTAATAAATATACATATGTTAGGGAGTTGAGTATTACGTGCCATTCTGATATTCTGTAAGAAAAGTAACTTCCTATCTCCTGCCCTCCTCCATATTTATACGATCGATTATAACGACATAAGAGATCCACTATATGTCATTATTTTGTAGAAAAGTATTTCTTTAAAAGTAAAGAGCGCTGATCAAGGATTCTTGTTCAGAGCGAGATCCAGTGCTAGTTATGTTAGCATATGAATATGAATACATTTGTTATATGTAAATCTGATACTGCACGAAAGAGACTACCTTTTTCATGAGATTCTCAATATTGGCATATTTTTCCTTTCAATCTAACAATGTTCTGATTCCTCAGCTGATTATTGATCAGTTGCAGTATGTCAGTACTTAATAATACATGATTAAAAAGATGCCTACACCTTAATTCAGTTCTTTTCATAAAACATAGACTCTTATGTTACTTACTTGACTGTCTTTCTTCTTAAAGTATTCCCTTTTAAATTTCTACACATTTCAATAATAGAAAATTTCATATTTTTCAAGTGATGCTAGAATATATACATATATAATATTTTTCATTCGAATTAGTCTGCCACAGTCTGCCAAGTAGTGTAGAATAACAATAATTTGGTCAAGGCAACTGTGCTGAAGCGTTAGCCAAATTCAATTGCCTAGGAAAATAAGGCTTGCAGCCAAATTTGGCAGGCAGCTTGGCGGGTAAGTCGAAACGTGCAGCGAAAGAAGGAGAGAGAGAGAGAGAGAGAGAGGGAGTTGAAAAAAAAGAAAACTATAATCAAATTTAATTAAAGGCGGAATTGGAACGCTCGAAGGATAACAAACAGTGAGCGTGTATGTGACACATCTAAAGTCCGAGCCATGAATGGTCCAGCAATCGAGTGGGAAAGAGATGGGGTGTGAAATGCAGAGAGAGAGAGAGAGAGAGAGGGAGAAAGGAAACTGTGTGCTGCAAGCAAATAAAGCACAACAAAATATGTGTGATAAATTTTTTTTTATTTTTTTCAACTGCTGCTGCTTCTGTTCCCGATTCTCTTGCTGCTGCTGTTGCTGCTTCTGGCTTCTCATTATTATTTTGCCTTTTATGTGGCACAAGAATGAAGTGAGTGGGCAGGCGACGGGGTGTGAGGGGTGTGGGCTCGAGGTGCACGCCCCGCCAGCGACCCGGTCTGCTCGGGGCTGCCGTTGATTTCTAATGTGATAAACTTTTGATGGCACAAAGGCGCAGCTATGCCAACCAGCTCTCCCGTAGCGCTCGGCCTGCAGCATGTTCCACCTCCCCGCCTCCTGCTCTGCCGCCGGCCTCCTCCCGGCTCTGCTAAAGAAATTATTTTATGGCTGCAGCTGGGCTGAGAGCGGACGGAGGCTCTTTAAAATCAACGCTAGTTTCTTATTACCCGGTCATGCAGTTGAGACTTGTTATTACCTCAAACGCACAGGCGCTCGCTCGTCTATTGGCCAGCTTCGTAATAAAAACTATGTAGGCAGCGCTGCGTATACGTAATATCTCATTTGCCTTTAAATGCGCATACGACCCGCTGCTCCAGGCACGCCCTGGATGGCCGGAATGGCCGGAATGGCCGCTGGCATTTGAATAATTTTATGCATCGATTTTTCGATTCGTATGATACTTATGAATCGCTAGCCTCGCGAAGAGAAAGAGAAGCAGAGTGAGAGAGAAGGAGAGGGAGAGTGATTTGATATCTGTGGATTCTTATGAAAAAGCATAAAGCGCTGCCAGCGAGAGACGACGCGAGATAGAGATAGACGCAGAGAGATAGAGATTAGATATATTATATATATTATGAATAGCTTAATAACTGTGAATATCCTTGATCCTTGCTGTGACAGCGCAGAGCAAAGAGAATTTTGGAATTTGACTGTGAAATTCTTGCGAACGAATTTTGCTTTGATTTGAATTTCATAGCTCAAGAGCCAGCGAGCGGGAAACACAAAGAAGTGGAAGAAGGAAAATGAGAAAAAATTCGTATTCAATTCTAAATAGCGTAATATCTTTGTGGCATCTTGCGAAACAAATAATCAAAAGCTGTCGGCGAGCAAAACATGAAATGAGATGAAGAAAGAGAACAAGATATTTAATTGCGAATGATGAAAGGAATGGAGCTTGTGCTCTAGATATTAAAGAGAGAGTGAGCGGGAGAGGGGAGAGAGATAAAGTTTTTATTTTGAAGAAGAAAATCTTTAACATACATTAAGAAGCATCATACGCATAAATATATTCTATTGTATATATAATACATACATATGCAAGGCATACAGTGTTCGAAAGCTCTTAGGAATGAGTTACTATGATTACTATTCCCATTAAAAAATCGGAGATGATCCTGAAAAATAATTAAAAGGGTTCATAGGTTCATTCAGTCGTACCTAAGTTATTGAAGTGACATTTTCGAATAGATATTCAGTGTTTCGCTATTGGAGAATGGCATTTCTAATTGCTGTGAATTTTCCCGTTGTTTTTCGCTTTGCAGGCTTCGTGATAAATGCAGCAACTGACAATTAATACAGGAACGGGCGAGAAATGTGCGAGCGAGCATTTGGCTGAGCATTAAAACATTGCGCAGCGGGAAAACTCATAAATGAATGCTTTTAATTGCGAAACAATGACGCTTGCCCGCACAGATACGAGCGGAATAAAAGGAATAACGCTTGCCAGATCAGCATCAGCAAAAACAACAACAACAACAACAACAACAGCAACAACAGCAAACACTTTGACCAGCTGCAGCAGCTGCAGTGAAATTTGTGAAAATCGTGAAAATTGAGACAACAGACAATGCTGCTGATGCCAACGTCGTGTGGCCCCGGTCCGCCAGCGGTCGCACACGCCGTTGACCCAAGCTTAGCGGACGGGCACACACGCAATCAACAACGTAAGCTGGCAACGACCCAGACCAGCCCAGCCAGTCCGATAACAGCAACGGGAATGGCAACAGCCACGGGCATTCCCAAATGGCTTCTAATGCTCCTACTGCTCTTTGCCATTGTGGCCCAAACGCCGCAGAGCCAAGTGGCCGCCGAGAAGAGCAAACACTGTGAGTATTTACCACCATTTCGATTTATACATATATACAATAAATATATAAATATATAGATATATATATACATAAGTATGTATGTACGTTTGTCGGTTTGTATACATTTTGGCCAGAAGATCGAAGTTTCGCACAACTTTTACCCTTGTTCTGTGTCCACTTGAATTTCGAAAAACAATTTGTCCCTTTTCACAGCGCTCAACTTTTGTGACAAACACAGCAAATAATTTTGTTTCTGCGAAAATAAAAGTTTTGTATTTTTTTTGTTTTCTGTTATTTTGTTGTTGAGCTTCTATTTATATTGAGGAATGGGCGTATCATTGTGACACTTTAATAATTTGATTAATTTTTAATACGGAGCTGTACCCAGAAAATTTAGTGGAATGAGCAGTTGAAAAGTTGAGCAAGAGATGCTGTAAATGTGGGTCTGTATACACATATTTATATGTATTTTATGTGTAAGCAGCATAATGAAAGAAAGTTTGAAACAAGAAAGAAAACGTGTTAGTCGATATCTAATACCGGCTCAAAGCTCAAAGCATGGAATGGGTCATATGCAAAGAGATATGCATAGATTCATGGATATATTATTGGATGGAATGGTGAATTGAGTAGAATGGTGAATATGATTAGGTGTAATGATGAAAAGATATACAGATTCACACAAAAATATATACATTTACAGATATATGGACATGTATTAGAATAGATATTTTTAGATATATCTATAGATTTATAGATTCATTTAAACTTATTATAGATTCACAGGTCGATAGAATTATAGATTTGAAGAATTCATAGATTTAGAGCTTCCTAGATCTATAGATTCAACGATTCATAGAATCAAAGATTCAACTATTCATAGATTCATGGATTCATAAATTCATCGATTAAAAAATGTATCAATTCATAAATATATCATATTCATAGATTCAATAAATTCATACATTCAGAGATTCATACATTCGAAGATTCATAGATGCATTGATCCATACATTCGAAAATTCATTGATTCATATTTGTATAGATGCATTGATTCATAAATGCATTGATTCAGATATTAATAGATTCATTGGTTCAATGATTCATAGATTCTTAGATTTAAAGATTCATATATTCAAACATTCTGAGATTCATAAATTCAGATTCATAGATGCATTGATTCATTGATTCAAGGATAAATAGATTTATTGATTCCTTAGTTCAATGATTGATGGATTCATATATTCATAGATTCGGTGATTCATAGATTCATACATTCGCAGATTCATAAATTCATAGATTCAAAAGTCAAACAGAACATATAAAAGTTCATACACAAGAAAAGTTGAGATAATGTCTCTAAGGCAAAGACAAACATCAACATGAAATCTGCCATAGGAATATTGTATATATGAAATTGTTCAACTTTCAATTAGAAACTCCAATAGATTCAACTAATTGTATACTCGTATAGGAATGTATGTGGCGTTTTTCGAAATTGAAATGCTTTGTGCCTTGCCCCAAGCAATTTGAATGAATTTATCCTTGAGCAAACAATCGACTTGCCGTAAGGCGAAACGTGTTGACAGCAAGTCAAGCTAAAGCAAATATGAAACATTTTGTCATTTTGGCTCGCTTACTTTTTATGATATTTTTTGGCTATGCTTTGTCTTTTTTTGCTGTCTGCTGTGGAGCTCATGTATCACAATATTTGTATACAATTTGTATAAATTTTGTTGCTTCTCTTGTGGCAGAACAATAAAATTTCATCGAGGAAATGTAATAAAAGTGCATGAAAATGTTGTTAAAAAAGCGAAGACAAACAAACCGAAAGAGAAAAACAAAATGCTGCCACTATAAAGTAAACAGTGTTTGTGTGCGTGTGTGGGTGTGGGTGTGGTTGGCATGTGTGTGTGTGTGTGGTAATTCATTCACATTGTACATATTGTTTATGCGAAGAATAAACAACATATAAATGCGATTTTACGATGAGCAGGCAACCTGCATACTAAACAGCTTGTCATACACACACACACATACATAAGTGTGCGTGTGTGTGATGGAATGTCTGAAGATATGTGCTATAGCCGCAACGTTGACAAAAGCCCGACACATTTTAATCAAAGCTGCAATAACACAAAATCTTCTGCACTTGAGTTCGCATTGTACGTCAATAAAACAATTGGAATGTGAACGACTTTATTGTACCCTACATACAAATTGACAACAAGCTACAAAAATCACAAATTAAAATCATAAAATGTGTGCTTAGCAATTTTATAAAAATGAAAAAAACTCTAAAGGCAAATTGTAATCGATAAAATAACAAATAAATTAGTTAGCGCAGTTTATTTATAATAAATATGAAATAATAAAGCAGATGTTATTGATAGATTCATATAAATTGAACTATATATATATATATATATATATGGATTCTTTGAATGCTTCAAAATTAAACACAGGTTTGATCGAAGAAGAAAGACGTATCACTATAAAGGGTACAAAATCCATAGGGACTACGAGAAGAAATCGAACTAAATTTGATAATTTTACACATTTCCTTAAATTTGCATTAATATTGCTGTTTATTTAAAGAATTGTCAAATGGAAAACTTTTATAGATAGCACAAAAATAATATATTTATCTATATATAATATTATTTGATTTACCTTTAAAACTCAACCAAAGAAATTATCTGAGGTAAAGCAAGTTTGTTGCTTACAGTTCAGCTTGATTTAGAATTAATTTGATTTGTTGCATAATGAGTTGCTTGCACAGTCGTCAATCATTTTACCCACACACGCGCATGCACACACATCCACATCAATACACACACGCACACATACAGTTGCAATTTCGCTGGCAACTGGAATAAAGTTGCTGAAGCGTTGCGAGGCTTCGTCGATGACGACGAAAGTTGTTTGCCGCAAATTATTTCCGTATTTTAACATTAAATCATAATTAAAAATTTCAAGTAAAACAACTTACAACTCACAGTCGTCGACGTCGACAGCGCAGTCCGCTGCGGCAGCGGCAGCAGTAAAAGTTTGCGCTGTAAAAAAGTTGTTGCCTACTTTTTTGGGCATATTTCCGGTTGCTGCTGCTACTGCTGCTGACTGCTGGCAGCGCTGCTTGCTGCGCTGTGCGTTTCTAATTGCAGCACCCTTCCTCTTTGGGTGACAACTCGCTGTTGTTGCTGTTGCCTTTCTTCCTTTTGCTCCTTTCCGGAGGCGACATTTAAACAACAACGACAACAGCAACGCAACAGCCATACTTAGCGCTGCTGCGTCTGCTGTTTGCTGTGGCCACAAACACACACACATACACACACACGCTTTTCTCAACCCTCTGCTGGGCATCCGCAACAGACTTGCGTGGCGTATACTTAATTTTCCCATACTCATGACCAGGCTTGTTTTTTTTTCGCAATGCACTTGGCCAAAGGGGCTGCCACTGCTACTGCTAGTGCTGCTGCTGCTGCTGCTGCTGGCAGCGACGTCGGCAGCATTGAAGGTTTCCTCAACTCGTTCAACAAAATGTTGTACAAAACTTTCATAATTAATTTCATGTTAAGTGGCATTGCGAAACGTACGTAGGCAGTTCCTGCAACTCCAATTGCCTCAGAGCCTCTACTCATGCTCCTGCTCCTGCTCCTGCTCCTGCTCCTACCTCTGCCCCGCCCCAACCATTTGCACATCGTTTCGCCACAGTCTTTGGCTTCATCTCGTTTTTTGCTTTTTGTATTTTGGCTGAGCCGTTGTCTTTAATTTGAATTGTCATTTCCTGTCTCAAACACTCAACGCCACTCGCTGGCTGCCCTTGTAGCGGTCTGCCAGGCATCCGGCTGCCATGCCACGCCCCACTGCCAGCGCCGCCTCTACCTCTGTGCTGCTGGTGATGCGCACGTTCAACTTGATTAGCGTAACTTGTAATGACTCGCACGAGCTGCGAGTCAGGGCAAACTTGTTGGCCCGGCCAGTCCCTGGTTCCCCATTGCCAGACATTCACTTACATGAGTAAATATGTTCACTCTCCCTGTATGTACGTGTGTGTGTGTGCCTATGTATGTGTGCGTGTGTGTGTCAGTCTCTTGTATTTGCAAGTGGTTTTCATAATTACTTTGTGTGTTCACTTCAAATTATCTGAGGAGCACAAGTTGTGCCTGTGCCTCAGCTCTACGCGTCTCTGAATATTTGCTTCTGAACCTCCCTAGCCCTCTCCCTCTGCTACTCGCTCTCTCTCTATTTCTCTCCTGCCTGCGCACTGTCACTGTTTCTGTACCCAGGCATGTTATGATTTGGAACTTATTCAATTTGCTAAATGTTTACCACATCATCGCATTATAATTAAGTTTTCAGCAGCGCACAGAGTGCTAAATGTGTGCAAATGTCTTAAGCTCGCATTCAGAAACACTTTGATCGATTTCTCTGCAAGTGGCATGAACGTAAACGTCTCTGTATCGACTGTTGATATAATCAAGACTAATAAAGATATTATTCTTGTAAATAAAAGCAACAACTCAATATTTGTGTGCTCATGCTCAACAGTTTGATTGATTTCTCTTTGAGTGAAATTCGTAAACGTCAGTTGACTTTTAGGTAGATGACTTTTATCGTTATCGATATGCATATTCCGATATCATACTGTTTGTTACTATTGAGCGCATATTATATGAATTGATTCCTCTATGAGGGCTATTCGTAAACGTAGCCATGTTATGTTTGCATGCTGAAGCATGCTCTTATCGATTCCTCTTTGATCTCGCTTGTGATTCCTTTTTGTTCACTATTCGTAAACGCAGCCCTGCTAAAGTAATAAAGATATATGCCTTCATTATCGGTATTATCTATTCCCATAGAAATACTAGCTATATAATTATGTTTCCTTGCCCTGTGTCCTTACTCCAAGGCACTTTTGCATGGACTCCTCTTTGCGTGGTATTCGTAAATGTGTGCAGACTGCTGAAGCATAAAAAAAAAAAGCTTCTGCCGTTATCTTTATAGACAGCTCGTTA